CAGAACATACAGGAGGGTCTCTAGGACTTAACGCGGGAACATTGTCCAGGGGCACTTACTACACTGTCCTGAGTTTCACCTTAACGGGGGTTCCTGCTGTTACCACTTTGCTTGATGAGGATGACAAGAGCAAGCTATGAATTTGCTCTTTGTAATAAACTGGAGGCCTGATGCATGAAAGTCATGCAAGGGGCTCGGCCCTCGCAGCCCTGGCTTTGTCCGGAAGGTCGTCTGGAAGGTTGTCTGGCTGTCCGATCTAATTAGCATATTACGCTTTTATTATTATAGATGTGTATATTTGACCTTTGTCCCCATTGTTTGCACAGGGCTCCCAGAACCCTTGGAATTTCCTAAGTGACCAAAGTGATGAAGGTCTTTTGTTATGTCACTGAGGAAAGCACCCAAGGAAGGGGCTGGTTGCTGGGAGAACCAACCAGGTGATTAGAGGGTGGGAACTTTGAGTCCCACCCCTTGACCTCCGGGTGGGAGGGTCAGGTTGAATCAATCACCAATTACGCTTGTGCTGTAAAGTCTATGAAAAACCCCAAAGGACGGATTCAGAGAGCTTCCAGTGGGTGAGCACGTGGAGGTGCTGGGGGACGGTGCCTGCCTGCCCGGCGAGGGCCGGGAGCTCTGGCCTGCCCCACACCTTGCCCTGTGCACCTGCATCTGGCTGTTACTGAGTTGTGTTCTTTTCTAACAAACGAGTGAGTAGAGTAGATACAATGTTTTCTCAGTTTTGTGAGCTGCTTTCTTAGTTCTGTGAGCTGCTGTAGCAAATTAACTGAACTCAAGGAGAGAGGGTTGTTGGAACCTCTGAGCTAAAGCTGGTTGGTCCGCAGCACAGAGGACAACCTGGACGTGGGATTGGCGTCTGAGGTGGGGCTGGGGAGCAGTGTCCTAGAACTGAGCCCTTAACTTGCGGGATCTGAATTGAGTTGAACTGGGGGACACAAGCTGGTGGTGGAGAATTGCTTGCTCTTCTAGGTTCTAACTTGTGTCTAGGCTCAGCATCTCGTGTCTCTTTCTGTGTCAGTTATCCCGCGCTCATCTAATTGCCAGTTTCCAAAATTTTGTTGATCGTTCTTTTCTGCTGTCATTTCCTCTCTCATTCTCATTGTCCCACTGGGCTTGAGCCTTACTGAAAACGCCCACTTACTGCCCGTTTACTGGGGTTTCAGGAGGTGGCCAAGGTACAGCAGGTGTTCAAACCGCCCTTTTACCAGGTGTGTCTCCAATTAAAGTTACCTTTAATTTCTCCTTACATATACACACTTAAAAGTGTGCTCATGGCTACATTCTTTGGCTCAGTCTCTCTCGGCACCCCTTTTCTCCCCCTTTTTCTTTCTCTTTCTCTCTCTTCATTTTTACTGTTGAATAGTTGGTGACCTTATATGGCTCACATACATTTTTTGTATGAAATTTACTTCATTAATTTTTCACTGCTTAATGTACTTTTGGCTTGAAAATTGATTCATTTAATACTACAATAGTAACTTTTATTTTTCTAACATAGAAGTTACAGACTTTAAACCATAGTAAAATTTTTACTTTCAAAAGTGTGTGTTTTGAGTACGATGAGTTAGTGGTGTTTTAAATATATCAATATGTATTTTTCTTTCCTGAGTTTCTTTATTCCTAGTGAGTTTATCCTCGGTCTTGAGGAAGAGGGTGAAGAAGGAGGGAATTAGAATGGTTACAGAAGGAAAGAAAAAGTAAGAAAAATTATTTAGATTTTTTTTCACTTTGAAGACAAAATAATAGGCCTGAAAGTTGGCTTGAACATTATCATTTATTGTGAAAAAAGATTTCCATGTGTGATATAACAGGACCAGGTTTGGCTATAACTGAGAACCACCCCCCCACCCCCCCCCCCCCCGCGCTGCCCACTCCATTTTTTCCACAGCTTGGCTGTCCATCTTCCTACGTAAGAAGAACCTGTGTTCTTTCCTTGCTGTGCTAGTTCAGCTGGAGTCTCTGGATCATTGTTACCAAGGGTTCTGTCTTTTCAGTTATGAGAGGTGTGGCTTTTTGCATTTTTCTAACTTTACCCGACAGTCAGCAGTTAGTTCTCAACCACATGAACTGTTTGTAGACTTTTGAAGTGGTGACAGGTACGTCGGTAAACAGCATAAAGAGCTTGTTGGGTGAATCTTCATCCTCATTATGTTTTCTGGACAACTGTGCCCATGGAACATTCCTTATCCCTTTGGCCCAGGCAGCTCTGTTGAGCCTGGTGTCAATGCCAACATCTGGGGTTACCTCCTTCATGCAAATTTCCGGATCTCTTTGGGTGCCCAAGGGGCATGCTTCTTGGAGCCCATTCCCTGGATGCGCTTGTGAATGTTGATGGTAGAACGGCCCTTCTTCTCACCACCCTTCTTTGTGGGGAGCCATTCTGAGGAGCACACGTTGGAAAGAAAGAGCACGGGGTATTGTCCCTGAGTCTTTTTTAAGCCTGAACTTTGTGGCTCTCCTCTCACCTGATAGCTCTTACCATCAGTATGTTTTGATTTGAGAAAATACAGTCAATACAGATGGTCAAAAGGATGCTCTGAACTGAGGACAGCTTATGGGTGAACTTTTATTCATCACATCAGCAGTGTTTGTCAAATAGGAGTAGTTGACGTCCAAAACATTGCTTATGCACTGTAAATGCTGTTCGGTGACCATACACATTGCAGGTTCCTTGAAATGACTCATAAGCTCCACCCTCTTGTTCTCAAACCCGAAGTTGCTTAGTTCACAGGTTGCGAAGCAGTGTTGTAGGGTATCTTTCCCTCAAATTCATTCTCATCTGAGCTTAAATGAGCTCTTTCTTTCTTTTCTCCATCACCCAATTTGTTTATTTAGGCATTTAAACGTTTCTTGACTCTATCCCCTTTTCCATACCTCCTGCCACGGGTCCGGTCCGCCCCGCTTCCCCCAGGTGTATTGATGCAACAGCCTCCTACCTGGGCTCTGCTCTGTCCTTTCCGTCCAATCTCCATGCTGCCGCCAGAGGGGTCTTTCTGGTTGTGTCCTTTCCTTTGCCAGACATGCTGTCACTCATGTCATCATGAGACACGGGAGCCCTTGTTTCAATCACACTCAACTGCTTGGGTTCTGTAAACTCGTCAAGACCCTTTGCCCCTGCCCCAGCTGGGTGGCTTGGTTGCTTGCAGTGTTATCCCATGCATCAAAAAAGGTTGCAGGTTTGATTCGCAGTCAGGGCAGACTAGAGGAAATGATCAATGTTTCTCTCCCACACTGAAGTTTCTCTCTCTCAAATCAACAAAAACAAACAACCATAAAAAAACCCATATCCTCAGCTGAAGATTAAAAAAGTAAACAAAGAACCCTTGCCGCGAGCTTTTGTTTGAGCAGCTCTGGCAGAGTCTCTCCCCCGTGGCAAGGCATGCTCGGCGCAGGTGTCGCTTATGAAACCTTGTTCTGGAAGCCCCGCGTCCTCCTGGCGTCCGCTGCAGGTTGTGCTGTAACAGGCTTCGGTGTGGACGTCCCCCCTGTGGGCTCTGGGGACAGGGACTTCTAGTCATGTTTGTGTCTCCAAACATCTCGAACAGTGCCTGGTACACAGTAGATGCAGATTCATGGGGGTCGGTGTGCTGTGTGTGTGGGCCTCCCTGAGGCTGGCTCCTGAGTGGGATTCTCGGTATTGCTGACTGATGGAAATGGGGGGTGGGGAATGGGTTATAATTATTGTTCCAATTCTGTTTTTCCCATATCCATCTTGTCTGAAAATGTTTCTCCTGAATAAATGAAGACTTCATTACACTTTTCTCTGATCGCCAAGGCAACACATATTATTTTAAACAGGTTTGAGTTCAAATTTTGCTACTTACTGGCTATGTACCTTGCACATACTTAACCTTGCCATGCCTTTGTTTTCTCATCTGAAAAGTGAGTTATTTTAAAGACAAAATTAGAAAGTGCACGAAAGTGCTCAGCATAGGGCCTGGCACAGGACTCGCACAGTATGCACAGCTGTCGCCGCTCCCTTCAATGCAGAAAAGGCAGCGGCCCCACAACCTAGATGCAGCTGGAGCCTTGGCCCAGAGTCTGCACTGAGCTGCAACGAAAAGGCACCACGGTCCGACTGCAGAAGCCTGGAGGACAGTCTGCTTCTCTCGTTAGGGCAGCCTTTCTCCGCCAGGTTCATCTGAACCACAGAGCGCAGGATGACTGGGGCGACGATTTCCTCTTCCCTGGGTGCTGCATGACTAACACCATTCCAGAGCTCAGGGAAGTGGATTCGCTGCATACAATTCAGGGCTTGGGACACTGAGGCTTAACCTTCCTCCCTTTGAGAAAGGCTGCTCTGCTGCTTCTTGGAGACTCTGTGCAGGGGCTCAGCTTAGTACATCAAAGCCACACCCCCTAAGTCCTCTCTAGAAGCCTCTCCCTTTCCTTGAATCTTCTCACTTAACACCTCTCCCTCCCGTGCCCACGGTCTGCTCCTAGAGCCCCAATCACTGGTTCCATCTCCACGTTGTGCTCCTCACGTTCCCACTTGTTCTGACCGGTGCCACCTTGCTGTTCTTGAAAGAGCAGCCCGCCTCTCACCATCCTCATGCACTGCCCCCACCCCCGCCCGCCCCCTCGGGAATTACAGCGAAGCAAGTTACTGCCGCGACCACACAGCAGTACACATGATGGAGACCTTGTCTTTGCTTTTTCACATGCAGACTTTTTAAAGTCACCTGGATCTCTTGCTATTTTCAAGAGCCTCTCCTTGACCAAAACCACCTAACTGTCATGATGGGTACTACCGAGGCTCCTGCAGACCCGGGCCCCGTTGCAAAGCCACCTGCTCTTCCTGTGCTACTCCTGTTCCTGTCATTCGGAGCGCCAGGGCTCACGCTGGCCCCCAGGAAGATAGCAGGCGCCTTTCTTTTTTGGGGGGAGGGTTATGTCACGATGTCTTGTTAGTAAGGAAAAATAACACGGCAGGCAATTAGCAGCGTTTACCGCAGTTCATATAACGGAATATCATGTAGCCATTAATTTTTGAAGAATATTTATTGACATGGGAAAATGCTCACAATGTTAAGGAAGCAGGATACAAATCTGTAAATACAGCGTGATCCCAATCTCGTAGTAAAATAAATTATATATGCATAGAAAAAACACAGGACAGAAATACACTAGAACATTAACAGTGATATTTATCTCAGGGTGGTGGGATTTGGGGTGAATTATTTTTTAAATTATTTCCGGCATTTTTCAAACTTTGCACAATGAACATATATTACTTTTTACAATGGGGGCAGGGAGGAAGTCGATACAGGTGACACCCAGTGCTGGGAGGTGGCAAGACTGACGTGGTATTCAGGAGATACTTAGTACTTGTACTTGTCAGCTAGCATCCTTGTTTATAAAGGGATAACATCTGTCCTGCTCGCCTCCCGGGACCACTGGGCATGTAAAAGGGTCTCAAGTGTCTGTTGATTGTTACTCCAAAGCAGCAGCTCAAGTGCCTTATTTTAGGACACATTCCTCCATATGGTGTCAAAGGTGAGGAGGGATGCGGCCGTGGGCCATGTGTTGTGTGTTCTGCCACCCCCACCACAGGCCAGCATGCGGGCAGGGGTCTGAAAGCCTGCAGCCCTGCTCCGGCCTGAGGACTCCAGGTCCCTGCTGGCGATGCATCGAACAAATTTCCCACTCACTTCCACCAAGTCACCTCTTCACATAGAAAGTTCTTGACTCTGGTTCTGCTGAAATAGTTATTGCTTAAAATGGCCTGAGAATTACCACTCTCCCAGCATTCCAGAGTCATAGGAGGCACAGCGTGGACCCCGGTGGGCAGTGTGTTGAAGGGGAAGGAGCAGGTTTGGGGGTCGGGCCGGGGAAGCTGGGTGACAGGCTCTTTGGAGATGATGTCGAGTATGAGATGGATGTGATGAGGTTACATGATGAAACATACATAGGAAACCCACACACAACAGGTGTCAGTTCTCTGTCCACGTGCAGGATGTGGTCACTGTCAACCTCTCCCCCTGCAAGTTCTTTTTTCACAACCAAGACTTAGTGCCCAGTGCAGGGGAACTGGAAGGCAATGCAACTCAGGTCAGGCTGCTCAACCCCGACCCTGGCAAGGCGGCGGACACTGCCCCGCTGCACGTCTTCATTCAGGGAGGCCCGCACGCATGCCACAGCTATCAGATTGTAGAAATTATAAAAATATTTCAAAATGCATTTGTAGAATGAAGTTAACAAAAATACTTAAATTCTTTTCTAAGCTTTTTTTCACTTAATCTAAAATTATGAATTGCCAAGTTTCATTTAACTGTTGTTAAAACTAGTCACCAAGAACTTCTCCCAACTGTTTTAGATGACAATCCTAAAATGTATTGTATTCCCCCTAGTTTTTTTATGGAGTGTTCTGAATTTTTTTTTTTTAAGAAACAGAGTCATCCTTGAGAATCAGTCTATGGGCCAGATTGTGATACGTGTCATTCGGGAAACAGACTCTCCCAGATTTGTGACAACTCAAGGAGCTTTCTCACTCCGCCCCCTTCCTCCCAACTCCTCCTGTGGGACTTTTCTGTGGGCCTAAAAGCCAGATAACTAAACATTTTAGAAATGTATGCAAATTTTAGTAGAGATTCTTGAGGCTCTCTCCAATGAGCCAAACTGCAGGAAGTTTTTGACATCTCTCGTGGAGGCTCACAGGCATTTCAAAGCTCAGTTCCTGTTTTGTTTTGCCAGAGAAGTGATTTCTGGATAACTGACATTTTTACTTACACCCCATGTGCCTATCCTTAAGGAGGCTATTTTAAGTGAGATGTACAAGTACTTTAAAAAAGCATGAACTGGGAAATAGTTTACCCATGTCCTGTAAAGAAACACACACCGATGGCTAAATTGAATCAACCCCAATGTTTTATTTAATTTAAAGTTTTAAAAGGCAGTGGTTAAGCACATTATCTATGTGTGTATATATGTATGTATACAAACATACATACATATATAAAGGGAAACCAACCCCTTTTCAACTTTAGCCACTGATTAACCAGGCTCACCGATTCATTTTCTACTACTTCATATGACCAATTTTTAAAGTAAAAATAGACAGCCTTGATCAGTTTAACAATAACTATTTGTGTTTCTTTTTTTTTTAAATAAATAAGGTTACCGTTGAACTGATCATATGGTAGAAAGGTAGAACACACACATCAGCACACACACCGCCCCCATTTAAAACATGTGACATATGAATGACCTATATGTACAAAAGGGTGCTGTTGACCCCCTGCCCCAGCAGAGGCCACGAAGAACTCCCAGGACTCAGGAGTCCCTATTCCCTCTGCTGGGACACGTGTTCTTGGCACCCGCATTAGACCTCAGAATGCATGCTCCCCATGCAGCAATACAGATGGGGGCTCAGTTCTCTGGTATAGTGTTCAGGTATGTGAGGGAATAAATAGGCATTGTAGCTGCCTCCGAACTAAACCGTCATTTTATAGGGAGAAATGTATTCTGAAGTTCTAAGTAAGTGACATACAAACTTTCAGTGCAGTCAGTTTGCAAGTCCGGGGCTGTGTGTGTGTGTGTGTGTGTGTGTGTGCATTTCTATATATTTATACAAAACTGAAATGAAAAGTGGGGCGAGGTTTATGGAGCAGCTGCTTGGCTTCCATGTCGTCAGTCCTGATGTAACAAGTCACTTGCCTCAGCCCTTATTTAGCAGCTCTTTCTGCTTCCCGCATGCCTCCGTCTGCTGGAGAGATTCAGGAGGGGCAGCTCGCACAAGTGAGAGGAAGGATGTGGCTAAATCTTCTGCTAAGAATCTTGGCAAATGACCTGCCAGATTCCACCAGGGCTGTGTTACAGTGAAGTCCTTCGGTTCCATTCCGATGAAATGGCGTTATTCTGCTGCTAGCCCCCGCAACTCCATCTAACTGCAGCTCTGCATGAATGCCTCAGGATCGCAAAAACACAGGATCACCTCTTAAATATGCTGGATTCTCAATGAGTAAACCAGTTAATGTGTTTCTAGCCAAAGCAAGGGCATAAATGTTTGAGAAAAAAGATTCCCCTGGAGCTACAGAGAAAAGATGCTGATAAAAGCAAGACTGAATTGAGCAGGTGATGGCTTTAGTCTGTGTCGGAGCTGGTCTCTTCGATGACAGAGTACTGGCTGAGTGCTTCCTCCAAAGGCGTTATTGTCCCATCAGGTTTTAGTCCCATTGGTTTAAGCAACTCCTCTCTGGAAAAAGAGATAAAAGAAAGAAAAAAAAAAGTATTCACCAGCATCACACACACACCCCTCCCTCCCGCCCCAATCCACATCCTTTTAAAAAGAAAAGTCTTTAAAAAACAAAGTATTTTTCCTCAAGCTCTCCGTGTGTTTGTAACAGGAAAGATGAAAGGGGCATGGAGAGAAAAAGAGGGAGATAAAAGACTTCATTCACACAGGCCAAACCTACTAAGCCAATTAAAGGTATGAAAAGTCAAGGTCTAAATGGCTCAGGACAAGGAGCAGGTCTCTTCTGTTTTTAATAATTCACTTTTTTTTCCTTTTGTGGATTCGTTTTGTTTTAGTGAAGCTGCTGAAACCTCACCTGTCGCAGTGGGTCAGGCATGCGGTTAATTTGACATGTGGACTTCACTCCACGGATAAAGGCGTCAGGTCTGTTTTTGCCTTTCCAATCTCTAGTGATACACGGGTACTTGATTCATTTCAAATCAGTTGGCCTTCCCCAACTTTCTCCCTCCCTTTTCTTTCCTTCTCTCTCTCTCCTTTTATAAAAACACCATTGCTTTTGTTTGTAGCAGTTTAATTACGGTTCTGACAGCCATTTTAATCTCTTCAAAGCTCCCCAACTGCCCCTTTCCAGCTAATCCAATTATACCTACTCCACAAGTTACAGCCTCATCTAAAGATGATTAATTATTGATTAAGCCAATCAAAAAGCATTAGGAAAGATTTATTTAATCTTTTCAGAGGCTCCTATTTTATTACATGGAGATTATGGCAAATGGACCTGTTGTGTTGCTGACTCTGGCCCAAAGGTCAGCAGTGCTGTAAGTGGAGGCTGAAATGGGCACATGAGCTGCTTAAACTTGTTTGTTATGGAAACGGGCATCGCCCCCTGAAAACTTGTCTACAACCAAGAACCCACATGTCAGTGGCTGTAATGTTGGTGGGACTTGGAGTGAAGGCAAATAATAAACCTCCTCTGCTGCCGTCCCCTCAGGCCAGCACAGAGGCGGCTGCCTCCGGGGAGCGCCCAGCCACATGCCAGGTGATGGTGCTAAGCCCAGCGAGACATCCTGGGGCGTGAGAGCGGCTCAGTGGCCACCGGTAAGCCGACAGCAGCCTGGTCAGTTTGAAGAATCAATAATGTGGATAGCTGACGGGCTAAGCTGAGGCGCCTGAATATTTATTATAAAGTAGGAAACACGTTTCCTGATCCAAGAAATGGGGTCAAAATCATAGAACCTGAAGTTGAAGGGGCCTTAGAGATCATTTAGTCCAACCCCTCCTTTAAGAAGAGACTGAGTGACTTACCCAAGGTCCCATGTCTAGTGGCCAAGTTGGACCTGGGACACAGGGGCCCTGGATCCCGGCCGGCTCTGCGGCACACACACCTGGTGACCTGCGCTAACTGCCCTGGGCAGCCCACTCCCTCAGCCGGTCAGTGTCTGCTCAACACTGTGCCAGGAACTACGCACACACGGGAGACAGGAAGACGGCTCGGCTGCCCCCTTGAGCAGGTGACATGTATACATGAAAAGTAACTCAGAACGTAATGGGGTAAAATGCTGTAAGAGAATCACGGACGAAGGACTGTGGCGGCTCCTGATGAGCACAGCCCACACTGCCAGGGGAGCTGGGATGGCATGCCAGGGAGGCGTGTGCCCGGCAGCAGGCACAGGAGGCATGTAAAGGGCTCTGTAGGGTCCCATTTACTTGTGTGACTTTGTAGAGCTTTTTGGGTCATTGGTTTCTTTGCTGTCTCTGAAGTTGTGAAAGGCCCGTGTATGGGGAGTGGCAAGGGTCCGTGAAAGAATGGCAGGAGGCAAGGCTGCAAGGGTAGCTGGGGGTCTAGTGGTCAAGTGCCCTAAAGGCCCAGGCAGGCTGTCTCGGGGGAGCTGTCTCTGGCGGCGGGGTGTGTGTGGGGGGCACACTGGTAGGGGCACTGGCAGAGACAAGTCATTAGGATGGCACTATCACCATGTGTGAGGGGAAACAGGAAGCTGGACTATGGCTGTGATGTGGGAAGTCGAGGCTACGTCTCTGGGGTAGACCTGTGACCCACTGGGAGGGCAGGGGCTGGCTGGTGAACAGAGTGTCCCTGTGCTTCCCACTCACTGATCATGTGACGGCCACATCATGCCTGCAGCAAGGACACAGCCGATGGAGCAGGTCTGCTGGGGAGACGCTGACATCTTCAGGACATGAAGAGCATGAGGTCCTTGCATGACAATCAGGTGGGCATGTTTAGTGGAGAGCTCGAAATAATCTGCTTCCATTAAAACTTCTCTCCAGCACTGATGCACACTACGCACATCTATACTTTTGTCACAGTTTTCTAACCATGGCTGGAGGATTCTGACATTGGACGCTATATACTACTAACTGATACAAAAGGAAAAGGGGGGCACTTTGCTGGGAATGAAACATTAAGGCATAAGAAAGCTCAAAGGTCTGAGGAGGTTGGTGGACTTGAGGGTACAGTAAGGAGGGGTGGGGTAAAGGCGGAAGTAGGTGGAAGTAGATGAGACGGGAAAAATTCTACCCCGATCGTGAAGAATTGCTGGTGGACATACATCACCCCTCACACTCACTCTCCTGCGTGCCCTTGTTGATGCTGGGCTAGCTACCAAGTGTACAGGGGAGCAGCTTTCTTGTTCAAGCCCGGGAGGAATATGTTCAAATCAAGGCCATCAGTGTCATCCCTACTCCTTAATCCAATTTTACAATGGAAGTAATTAAGAACAATTCAGTAGTTTTATGGCCAGTAATTCACGTACAGAATAAAAGGCCCATATTTTAATTCCTACTGGCAAACTATTCTTCCCAAGCACTTATTTTTTGGGTCCTCTGTCTCAACCTCCACTACCGTGGGAGCTCCCAAGGGGATTGAGTTATTTTCTTTTCCAAATGGCTCCATGTGACGCTTGGACTTAACACTTCTGTAGGAGAAGTGTCCGTGGTCACTGGCCACGTAATCATGTATTCATGCAAATGAATTAAGGCAGCAACGTGATAGAGTGGAACAAAAAGGATCTGGAGCCAGGAGGTCTGTCTGAAGTCCCAACTCTTCCACTTACCAGTTGTGTGACGATGGGCAAGTCTCTGAGTCTGTTTCCCCATCTGTGGAATGGGAATGACGATGATGCTAGCTCTATCTACTTCTAGTGAGGATGTGAGTAGTAGCATTAATAGTACTAATAGTGGTAGTAGTAATAACTACAGCTTAAATGAAAGACTCCCATGAACTGTAAAGGAGTCCTAAGTATTCATGTTACTGTGGTATAATGAGAGGCACATATAGGTTTAGAGTCAGACAGCCTGGATCCACCGCTCACTAGCAATATGACCTTGAACTCTCTGAACTTCCACTTCCTTGTCTGTAGAATTGGGATAGGAATACCCACCTCATTGAATTGTCATGAGGGCAAAAGGTCATTATACACCTAAAGTGCGAGGTGCAATGGCTGGACTGTCGTTGGAACCCACAGTGGTATTTCCTGTCACGTGCTTAGGGAAAGTTTCCCCACGCTCATTAGGGCACTCTGGGAATTAAGTGGGAGAAGAATGTGCAGAAGCAAATAAAAGACATGGTCCCTGTCCTCAAGAAGCTTTCAGCCAGTTCAGAAGAGAACACACACGCACATTAAACGATAGTAAAAGAATTACAGAACAGCAGATCCACAAGCTCGAGAGAGTAACAGGCAGAGCCCTCCTTGCCCTCGCCTGGTGGTTGGTTCACGACACACCCTATTGCAACTCAAATCTGTTCAAAGGACAAAGAGAGAGGGTCACTTACAGATATGTGACTGTTTTTTTCTTACAGCTCTCGGGCTTACTCTTCAAACCTCCATCTTAATATTTCTAATATTCTTCCTCTCTGTCATACAACAGCCCCCAAATAGCAAAATGAAATCTTTGATCCAGGGACTCACTCCTAAAAGGTCTGATACATGACCTGGTTATACTAGACTGTTTCATTTTATCAGCTCTGTTGTATCTAGATCAGCAAGATATATGGACAGAGAATGGGAGGCATTAATGAATACCATGGACATGTTGCTCCACCAATCATATGTACACGTGGGAGGGACACAGGAGATGGGGACGCTGGTCACAGGCTCCTTGCAGGCGATAGACGCAGAGCCAGACTGTAATGGCAGTGATGAATATGGATCATGGGGAGGAAGGCATCCCAGAAGCAGAAGAATTAGTCAAGCAAAGGCACAGAAACAAGAGTTAGTTGTGTGCAGGGATTGGCAAACAGGCTGGGTTGGCTGAGGTAAATTTTAAAAAAGCTCAAAACAGATACAGGGTATGAAAGAGAATTTCAAAGGAGTCTATGAAATCCTAGGCTGACAAGTTTGGATTACAGTACAGAGGTATTTTTGTCTTCTATTTCAAGGGCCTTACGTTAAAGAAAATTTTCATTAAAAAAATTCTCCTTACAAAGTTTGAAAGCTATGAAACAGTATCACTGACATATAAAAAAAAGTTGTATGCTTTCATTTTTATATCCCTCTGTGTCTAGCACAGTGCCTTGCAGATAGCAGATCCTCAATAAGCGTGTATGAACTAAATTTTGTTGCAGTTGATACCATCTTGCACTTTCACAGAAAGGAAGTGTTCTATAGGCCTCCTGAATAAACCAAAACCAAGAGAAAAGCTAGATCTCTGGGCAGAAGATTCACTTTCATCACAAGACCCACAGAGGCAGGAAAAGTATTATGAGCATTCTATAGGAAATTCCTTCCAGGGCTTTCTCTAGTAGACTGTGAGCAACTTGAGGGCAGAGTCCATGTCTTACCTGGCTGTGATCTGCATACCTATATATGACCTGCATAGGATGGAGCACACAGCAGGCGCTCAACATGCTTACTGAAAGAATACATGGGTCATAGCATCAATGGAGAATGACAGCGAACCATTTGTCAGGAATCATTCTCATATTATTTTAAGTGTAATTAGTTATTTCCCTGCTGAAGCATCATGACGTCCAGCAGAAGTCA